AGGGCCCTGTTTCTGGGTACATAGAGTAGAAGGGCCCTGTTTCTGGGTACATAGAGTAGAAGACTTCTTCGAGGCTGTGTCTGTGTGTCCCTCCCTCTCCTTACATTGCTTTGTTGGGGTGGAGGGTGGATTTCAGCTGGCAGGGCTGGGGGCAGTGCAGAGTGGTAGGAGGTTGTGGGTGGCTGTGGGCACCAGCTGTGGAGAGGTCAGTTTGCTGGGCCATCCCAGCTGTTCTCACCAGGTAGATGACACAGGATGTACCTTGGCCTGCCTGTAGGACTCTCAGCCCTTTGTGTGCACAGGGCCCAGGGCCATGTTGACCTGGCCAAGAGTTCACAATCTACCCCTTGGCCCACCTTTATTTTCAGTACTGTTCTGTTTCTGGAAGAGGCCATGCAGTTTTGTTCTGTCTTTGATGTCTGCTTTATAGTGGTTCCTGTTTCGACCACTGTCAGTGAGGAGTAGCCAGACCATGGGGCCGTCTCCAGAGTAACATTTAGTCTGGGGAGGGAGTTCCTTTGCACCATGAGTTTCTTTACTACAGATAATCCACCCTTGACCATAATCTCCTTTTTCTTTTTGAAATTAGACCCTGAATCGAGATTGGGAGTCAAAAAGAGACTCAAGCTTAGAAAATCTACGGAAAGAATTATCCGAGAAGCACCAGTCAGAATTGGAGCGTCTGAAGAACCAGTATAAGAAGGAACTGGCTGAGCAGAAAGTTGAGCTGGAAAAGATTTTCCAAGCCAAAAGTCAGACAGAATGTGAGCATCTGATTAGAATGAACAGGTTGGGAGAAGCTGGGTTCTCCTGGGATGGGTGTTAGGAAGCCAACAGTTTGTGATCCAACACACCTCAGGATGGCTTTTAAATGTCTATATATGATACTGAGCTGCAGGAGGTGGGGGTGGGTTGGGGGCAAGCGCAGAGCCAGGATCATTCCTTATTGACTAGAGCCTCTAGGCACAGTCTTTGCAAGGCTCCTGAAGAATTAGACTGCTTCCCTAAAAGGTGACATGTGCTCCTACCCCTGGAGGGTCGCCGGAGGGGCACTGCACATGGACAGTCTGAGGGGAGGCGGGGAGGCTGGCTGTGCTCTGCAGGACCTCCTGCAAGGAGAGGATTGAAGGAGGAGGGTGTCCTTGGAAGTACTGAGGCTGGGGCCTTTGTTGTTGTCCTTGTTAACTGTGAGGTACTACTCAGCATTGTTGTCACGGTGCTGCCTAGGTGCCCTCAAGGACCTGGAGAGCCAGCACCAAGCTGCCCTGCAGCAGTTACGGGAGGACTTACAGTCTCAGCATGGCCAGTACCTAGAAGACCTGGAGCTGAAATATAAAAAAAAGGAAGAAGAAAAACAGCTGGAGGTAGGCAAGGCTTTTGTTTTGTTTGTTTTTAGGTGTTGTTGAGTTGGTTGTGCGCAGCGACCCTGTGTACAGCAGAGCAGAATGCTGCCCGGCCCCGCACTGTCTTTCCACTTGTTCTATGTGAGCCCATGGTTGCAGCCACTGTGCTGGTCCATCTCGCTGAGGGCCTTTCTCTTTTTGCTGACCCTCTGCTGTACTAAGCATGCTGTCCTTCTCTAGGCACCAGTAAATCTTATCATCTCTGCTTCTAACGAGCACTCTGACCGTGCTTCCTCCAAGACAGACTTATTTGTTCTTCTGGCAGCCTGGGGAACTTACGTAGTTTTCACTAATGTCGTAATTCAAACGCATCAGTTCTTCTCCAGTCTTCCTTATTTACTGCCCGACTTTCACATTCATGTGTGACGATCAAATACTGGTTGTCCTCCAAGTGACGTCAGGCACATGGTTGTCCTCCAAGTGACGTCCTCACTCTTCGGCACTCTAACAAGGTCTGTGTTGTGTGGCACATGTGCCCAGTGCTGTACGCCCAATGCAGTAGGCAGAGCTTCCTCACATTTAATCACTGGGTACGTTGGGGAGTGTGAGGAGATTTTGGAACAGGGCCATTTTCCTCTCTGTTATTAGCTAAGGCTTAAGTCCTGAATTTAAAGAGACGCAGCCTCTGGCAGACTTGGTGGATGGGAAAACAAGGACACAAACACGTGGGTAGTGAGGGCTGTCAGCTAATTCCATGACACCTTCGACCTCTGTGTGCAGAGAATGTATGTCATTTATAAATGCCTGAGACAAGTTCCTCCAAATTCCATGCATTGACCTGTGTGGTCACATTCTGGCCAGAGATGAAGAAACAAGGACTTCCTAAGAGACTTTAAACCAGAAACATTTCTGTTGCTCATATGAGGAGGGACACACACACACACACACACACACACACACGGAGGGTTTTTTTTTTTTACAAAGCTATATATTTAAATTAAAAAAAACCAACAACCTTATCACCTTTAAAGTGATCTCCATCACAGTACATTTGTCAAATCTGCGATTTCATTCTTGGAAACATATTTCAAACTCATCTGTTTGTATGGCTGATGGCATCTCCCTCGCTTTTTTCTTCACCTCTTCTACGTTGTCAAGTTGTTTTCCTTTCATGTCGTCTGCATTCACAGAAACAAAAAGACGTCACATGTAGTGAGGTCAGGTGAGAAGGTGCATGGGGCATGCTGTTTTTTGCCCCAAATTGGCGCAGATAGCCATATGAGCAGGTGCAGTGTTGTAGTGGCAAAACCAGTCCCCCATCTGCCACAAATCAGGCCTTTTTTTGTTGCACACTGTTACGCCATCTTTTCAGAACCCCTAAGTAGAAAGCCTGATTAACAGTCTGACCTGGTGGAACAAACTCCAAATACCCTATGAGTTGACATTTTCTTCCCTTCGGGGAGTTGACAAACATCCAGAACAAGGTTTGTCATTAATTGACATTTCACTGTTTTTGAAATGAGAAAACCACTGTACAGTTGAGTTTTTCCATTAGTACTGTCCTTGTAATTCAATATCACAACAGTTCAATATCACAACAGTTTCTGCAGCATTTTTCCAGAGCAGAAAAATTTCATAGCCACACACTGTTCTATTAAATTGGCCATCACAAAAAATGAGGTTTGAGCAAAGCTGTGTTTATGAAAAATTCATTGTGACCAAAGAGAACCTTCCCAGGTGATGCCACTGGGTGCATTAACTCAGAGCGGGTTGCTCGATGCTTGTGTACTATGAAACTCCGCTCTGCCCAGCACAATTCTGTTTTGTTTGTTTTTTTGTACCCCCTCATATATTCAAAATGCATTTCCAGGGAAAATGCTGCATACTAAAATAAAACTGTGATGTGGCCAGATCTACTTTCAGGGTGCTTAAGTGCTTTAATTACCAAACCCAAGAGTCAACTCATGGCCTAGGCATTCAGTCTGAGACATCCACAAGAAAAAGGAGCATCCCCAATGGTGATAGAACCAACGGTGGTGTGTACAGAAGCTCAGAGACTTGCAAAGAGGCACATGGTCCGAACCTAGTAGGGACGGAGCAGAGGACAAAGTCACGAGTCTCCCTTCACCTAGCTCTGCTGTTCATTTTCTTGTTGGTCAATCTCTGGGTTTTGTCCTGTTGAAATCTATATTGTTCTGGACTCACTTGGACAGTTTTCAAGTATGTGTATCTAGAAAGTTCCATTCCTTAAATGGTCACTTCACAGTGATTCTCAGGTGTGAGCTGTTACGTGAGAGTAATCCTTTGGAGAGTGAAGGGTTGCAGGTGGCCTGGCCCAGCGTGTGTGTGCCGAGCTGGGAGCTATGTGACTTCATGC